CTACATACCTATTAGAATAACTGAAATTAAAAACACTGACCATTATCAAGTTTTGGCAAGGATATGAAGGAACTGGAACGTTCATACATTGTTGATGGGACAATAAAATGGCACAACCACTTTGGAAAACAATGGGTACTTTCTTTAAAATTAAACGTACACCTACTATATCATCCAGCCATTCCATTCCTAAGCATTTACCCAAGATAAATGAAAACATGTCCACACAAATACTAACACAGATGTTCATAGTGTCTTTATTTGTAATAGCCAAAAACTGGAATCAACCCAAAAGTTCAGCAGCAGGTGAGTGTCTATGCAAACTATGGTATAAACATTCAATGTAATATCTTCTGCCATAAAAAGCAATGAATTATTGATACATACTACAATATGGGTGACTCTCAAAATAATTGAGTTAAAGAAGTCAGACCCAGACACCCCCAAACACTGCAACAAGATTGCCTGTTGTATGATTTCATTTATATAAAATTCTAGAAAGTACTAAGTAATCTTGACAGAGAACAGATCCTTGGTCACCTAGTCATGGAAGAGGGGAGGGGAGAAGGGAGGGGCAGAAGGGAAAGATTATCAAGGGATGTGAAGAAACATTTCAGGGTGATGAATATATTCGCTATCATGATTGTGGTGATGGTTTAGTGGGATTTTACATATATCAAAATGTATCCAACTGCATATTTAAAATATCTGCAATTTATTGTATGTCAATCATATCTCAATAAAGATGTCTATTAGAAGGTGTGAGACAAATAGGCTCTGCATAGTTTCAAATTATCTTCTTACCAGACACTTAATTACAAAGGGAAAAAACAGTAACTTTATAGCAGAGAAATCTAGCAGGCCCTACTTTAACTAAATAAAGTTAACATCTTAAGGAATAAGACATCTCAACATCATGTACCTCCTGATATGCTTCACTGAGAAGGTCGCAACATCACTTTTGTGGTGTTCTTGCCAAACATGTATAATTTGAATCTAGTCATGAGAAAAATAAGACAAAACCAAATTTAACACCATTCCAAAAAAAATAATAACTAGCTAGAGAACTGTTTCAGCTTACAGAAGACTAAGGAAAATGACAACTAAATGCAATGATAGTGGAGTGAATCTTGTATCAGAAAAGGGACATTAGTAGGACAATAGGCATAACACAAATGAGTGTGGATTACTTAATAATATTCTATCAATGTAAATTTCCTAGTTTCAGTAACTGTATAAGATGTTAACATTAGGGGAAGCTAGGCGAAGGGTCTGAAAATACTTTCTCTATACTATTTCTGCAGCTATTTTTTAATTCCAAAATTACTTCACAATCATTAAAAACTGAATGCAAAATAAATATATTTTCAGACAAACAAAAGTTGAGGGAGTTTGTTAGCAGCAGGCCTGAACTACAAGAAATGTGTTCAAGGAAATTCTTGAGGCCAAAGAAAAATAATACCAGATGGAATCCCAGGACTATACAAAAGAATGAAGAGTGCTAGAAATGGAAAATATATGGGTGAGTATAAAAGACAAATATACTCATTTTTTAGTTTCTTTATAACATATTTGACTTTTCAAATAAAAAATAATTATGATTTTTGTATAATTTTGATCATGTATAACATAATTAGGAGCAAAATAGATGACAAGAGCACACAGAATGAGGGTGGGAGAATAAGTATATGTAATAAGGTACTGATATTTTACTTGAAGTATGTAATACTTAAAGGTAAATGTGATATGTTAAAGATGTATTGCAAACCAGAGATTCTAGCCGCTAGGACAGAAACTGAAACATTTTTAAAAAATAGGTATAGCTGGTAAGCTTAAAGAGGAAATAAAAATAAAAACACTAAAAACAGTAAATTAATCCAAACAGGATAAATACAAAAGAAATAGTAAGATGGTAGACTTGACTCCAACACTTAATATTACATATTAAGATAAAATGGATTAAACATACTAATTAAAAGGCAGGGATTGGTCAGGTGCAGTGGCTTACACCTGTAATCCCAGCACTTTGGGAAGCTGAGGTGGGAAGATTGCTTGAGCCCAGGAGCTCGAGACCACCTCGTCTCTACAAAAAAAGGGGGGAGGGGGGCAGGGATTGTCAAACTGATAGAAAGTCATAACCCAATTATATGCTGTCAACAAGATGCACTTTTAAAAACTGCAGATCGGTTCAAAATAAAAGAACGGTAAAAGATATAACATGCAAATACTAAGCCAAAAAAGGCCATAAATAAACCTCTAGCTTTATTAATATCAAAGTGCCTGTAATCCAGCACTTTGGGAGGCCGAGACAAGTGGATTGCCTGAGCCCACAGGTTCGAGACCAACCCAGGCAACTTGGCGAGACCTCGTCTCTACAATAAATCAAAAATTAGCTGGGCATGGTAGCGTGCACCTGTAGTTCCAGTTACTTGGAAGGAAGGGAGACAGAAGCAGAAGGCTCACCAGTACCCAACAGGTCAATGCTGAGGTGGCCATGAGTGTGCCTCTGCACTCCAGCCTGGGCAATGGAGTGAGACTACAACTAAAAAAAAATGACCCTGCAATCCCCCTACTGGGAATATACCCTGAAGAACACAAATCACTCTATAAAAAAGATACTTGCACATGTATGTTTATCGCAGCATTGTTCACAATAGCAAGAACCTGGAAACAACCGTGCTGCCCATCAAAAGAGGACTGGATTAAAAAAATGTGGTACATATACATGATGGAGTACTATGCAGCCATAAAAAAGAACAAAATCATGAATTTCGCTGCAACCTGGATGGAACTAGAGTCTATAATACTGAGTGACCTCTCACAGAAACAAAGATCCGAATATCACATGTTCTCACTCATATAATGGACCTTGAACATCCAATACAATACTATAAGAAAATGACTGACGGTACTGGGAAACTATGGGGGGGAGGGGGATGGGATTAACAGTAGCAAATATCTGTCAGGGGATGGGAAAACACCTCTTATCAACAGGGTGCCTGAATGAAACGTAATTGTACACCTAACCCTTAACTGTACCCCACAAAACCATAATAAAAAATACTGATTAATGAAAAAAAAATCAGACAAAGTAGACTTCAGGACAAGGAAAGTTACCATATAAAGGAGTCAAATCATCAAGCTAATAACAGCTTCAAAAGTAGACTTCAGCACAAGGAAAATTACCTTATAAAGGAGTCAATCATCAAGCTAATAACAGCTTCAAAATGCACGAAGAAAAAAAACTGAAACCCAGCTAAGTGTTACGACAAAAGTACCAAAAATTTTTAAAAATTAAAAAAATGTATAAAGTAAAAAGTTACAGTAAGCTAAGGTTAATTTATTATTCAAGAAAGAATTATTAAAAATAAATTTAGAGTAGCCTAAATGTACAGAGTTTTTAAAGTCTACAGTTGTGTATGGTAATGTTCCAGGCCTTCACATTCACTCACTGACACCCAGAACAACCTCCAGTCCTGCAAGCTTCATTCATAAAAGTGCCCTCTACAGGTGTACCATTTAAAAAATTCTTTTATACAATATTTTTATAGTATTTTTATACTTTCTATGTTTAGAAACACAAATACCTGTACTCAGGACAGTAACATGCTGTACAGGTTTGTAGTCTAGCAGCAACAGGTCATACAATATAGCCTAGGTGTGTAGTAGCTATGCCACCTAGGTTTGTGTAAGCACAGTGTATGATGGTCACACAATGACAAAATCGCCTAATGACACTTTTCTCAGAACGTATGCCTGTCAAGTGATGCATGACTGTGGTTGTATAGAAAGCTGTAGTGATGGGAAGGAAGGTATTCCACAGAGCAACAAGAGCATGAATAGAGCCACAGAAGTGGGAAGTAGCGGAGGCAATTATGAGGACCAGCTGATAACTATTTTAAAATTAACTTTATAGATGCATCATTTGCATACAATAAGATGTACCCATTTTAAGTTAATAGTTCAATGAATTTTAAGAAATGTACACAAACCCATGTGACCACCATCTCATAGAGAGTTTTCCTTTAAAAATTATTACTTCAAGCTGTTTTTGTGTTAGTAAACCATAATTTTATTACAAGTTTTATAAGTCAATATTAAAACCAAAACACTATGCAGACAATAAAATAGACTATAAAAAGCATACACTTTGGAATCAGTTCTAGGTTTAAAACCTACTTCTCAAGCAAGTTGCTTAATTCTCAAAGCCTCAGTCTCCTCATCCATAAAATGGGGATAATAATAAAACCAACTTCACAAGATTGCCGTGAGGACTAAAAAAATAATGTTACTACATAGCAAGACCAATAAATGGTATTAACCTTATCACAATTTGACAGACATTTGTTGTATAGTTACTCCAGAAGTATGATATAGACTGTGAAACTTGTAGACAAATGCTTTGAGACAGCCCTAAATGAAACCATTAAAGGCTAACCAAGATGGCAATTCTGAGTTCCACTTCCTTGCTGGTTCCATTTCACAGTCAGTGGCAAAGCCTCAATGTATTTAATGCTCACACATCACTTAGAGATAAAATGGGTCAGTTGATAATTGATTCTGGAACAAATTTAAAGCAAGACACTTAAAAACTTCCTCCTAAGTTTGTTAGACCTGCTCCCCGATCTTTAAACAGAGCCCAACCTCCCTCATCTCAGACCACAGGAAGCTGGGAAGGACACCCTAGGATTCCCCTGAAGGCCCCTTTACTCTCATGGGCTCAACCACCAGCTCCACTCCGGCTGCCTGGCTCTCCAGCACCCTGACTCCATGATCCAGCTCTTACATCGGCCTCAGGCTCGTCTCCTGTGTCAAGATCCACTTCTTCCGTTTACCTACCTGCCACCCTATCCATTCAATTCTGCAGGTTGTGTACTGTTCACATGCCCCCTTAGTCTCAGCCTCCTGGAGACCCCTTGCCCAGCTCCCAGCACACAGGACCCAGGACACAGTTGCAACCATATATAATTCAAGGGTCACGGGGACAGAGTGCCATCTACCTGAGCAAGAAAGAGCTGGAACTCGTCAGGCAGAATCCATGAGCGAGGGTAGAAGTTGTACTCCTCAGGAAAGAGATTCTGCATGATTCTCACTGCTCTGCTCAGGGTAATTTTACGCACCATCTCCGTCATGCCTGGGAAGAAGAGATGCTGTGAGGTTTGAACAACAGTGGGCCACTAGCTATAAAACAGTCGTTATTTGGGACTTTTAAAACCACCCACCCAACATATTCACTTTTTCAGGCAGTTTTTTAAAAAAGGTATGAGTTGCTCCCCACAGTGGTGGCTCATGATTTGGAAAGACCTACCAAATTAATGAAAAACTTGGGATATAGATGAGTGTTCTTTTCGCCTTATAAAAATGAAACATCGGTTAGAAAGAATGAATTTCACCTAGTTTATTATTCTATTCTCTGTCATCTCCTTAGGTGGTGAATAGAGAAGCATTTATATCTTGCACTTTTTAAAACATAATACCCTCTTTAATTTTGAGTCACCATACATACTTTAGGGATTCCTTCCATCTTGTACCCTAGAAAATATCATCTAGTGGACTTTGGTTACATTATGGGAAGCTTAATTAAGTTGCTTTGTTTTAAGGATTTATGAGAATTAAAAGTATGAAATAGAAAAATACACACCTTTCAGCATAAAATGCCTCCTTGAATCAAAGACAGGAAGTAAAAAGGATATCATAATTTATAGTTTAAGGGGGGAAAAGTGCAATCTGTAGGAGTTCTTCAGTTATGAGAACTGACACTGACATTGATCCTAGCTCATTAATTTGCCCAGAGGGGATTGAAATGTCTCACTTTTATAAAAGGTTTTTTTTAATGGTACATTTTTGTTTCTTATAATATCATTAGTAACTCTGACAAGAGAAAGAAATGAGTACTATATTTCTTAGTAAATTTTAAGCAAATAAATAAAAATTATTGTAAATTTTAGCATGCTTATTTCTTTTCTTTTCTTTTCTTTTCTTTTTTTTTTGAGTTGGAGTCTCACTCTGTCGCCCAGACTGGAGTGCAGTGGCCGCTCCCAGCCACCGCAGCCTCGACCGGCTGGGCTCCAGTGATCCTTCCGCCTCAGCCTTCCAAGTAGCTGGAACTACAGGCACGCGCTACCACCCCAGCTAGTTTTTTGATTTATTGTAGAGATGAGGTCTCGCCAAGTTGCCCAGGCGGGTCTCGAACCTGCGTGTTCAGACAATCCACTCACCTCAGCCTCCCAAAGGCACGGGATTACAGGCTGAGCCACCAAGCCCGGCTGGCATTTTTTTATTTTTAAAAAAGCCAAGCTTTATTTATTCGTTGAAGATTTGTTCTCTGCCCAAGCACCTTTTAGGATCTCAGTATTGTCCTTTTTATTTTTTTTTTGAATTGGAGTCTCACTCTGTCGCCCAGACTGGAGTGCAGTGGCCGCTCCCGGCCACTGCAACCTCGACCTGCTGGGCTCCGGCGATCCTTCCGCTTCAGCCTTCCAAGTAGCTGGAACTACAGGCGCGCGCTACCACTCCCGGCTGATTTTTGATTTA